TTTCCACAGGTGACGCCTGGAGAACGGGTGGCCGTGCAGGCCGGGACCCACCCGGCTGCGCCCCCAGACTCTCCGCTGCCCACGAGTCTCGGAGTGGCACCCTCTCCTGGTCGTCTCCTCTCGTGGGGCCCGAAGAACGGGGCAAAGCCGAGTTCGTGCGCTGTACTGCGCGGGCGCGCGTTTCGTTCTTCGGGTTTGCCATGGTTCTGTGACTCCCTAAAGGTTGAGGGCTACTGAATTGGAAGAAACGCCGAGCTGGCTTCTGGGGCCTGGCGGGCGCCGGGCAGCGTGTTTACTCTGAGTAGAGCAACCGCAAAACCTCCTTTAAAAAATACCCATTCTGAGCTGCGGCGTTGGAGAGGCCGCCTGTCATTCAGCCCCTTCAGACCCTCTCTCACTCCGTCTTCCGGAGCGTGAGTGAAGCCCGGGTGAGGAGTTTTCCCACACGCCGGGGGCCCGGAGCTGAGAAGGGGCATGGCCAGCATCACGCAGCTGTTCGACGACCTGTGTGAGGCCCTCCTGCCGGCTGCCAAGACTCACCTGGGCCAGCGCGGTGTGAACCGGAAGAGGGCAAAGCGGAGCCTCAAGAAGGTGGCCTACAATGCGCTTTTCACAAATCTTTTTCAAGATGAGACTCAACAGCTGCAGCCTGACATGTCAAAACTACCAGCGAGAAACAAGATCGTCATGTTGTCCTTTGACTTGAGAGTGGGTGGCCTGGGCCCCGAGGCCGACCGTCTGGAGGAGCTTGTGGAGGAGCTTGAAGCAGCCCCTTGCTGTCCGCTTTTGGAGGTGGGGTCTGTTTTGGACCTCCTGGTTCAGCTGGCAGGGAGTGGTCCCCCTCAACTTCTGCCGAGAAATCGAGACTACTTCCTTAACAACAAGCACGTGGGGAGAAACGTTCCCTATAGCGGCTATGATTGCGACCACCTGAGTGTGTTTGAGACGGACGTTCAGTCTCTGATCTCCAGAGAAGAGTGTTTGTGTCACAGCATGATCCAGGAAACACTTCAGGTTATGGAGGCTGCTCCAGGCACCGGCCTGCCCACCGTCGGGCTCTTCTCATTTGGTGACTCTTGTGGTGACAGGTTTGAGAGAGACACCCGGGTCTCGCTCTTCGGGGCCCTTGTGCACAGCCGCACTGACGACATGGACGTCCGACTGGGCCTGCCCCCCGTGCCGGACAGTGCAGACCTCTCTGGGCTGGCCATTAAGGTAGAATGTTTGGTTTTTCCTCTTTCACCTTTCTTGGGGTTTGGAAAATGCTTTCTGTGACTTTCTTTTTTTTTTTTTTTTGGAGACAGGGTCTCA